GCAAAGCTACCAAGCTCCCAATAGGACTAACTCCAATGGCGACGACCTCCAGACTCCTAAGAATGGGTATACACAACACCTAGCAAGCACTGGTAGAAGCACAACGGATGAGCCAACTCGAGAGACTTAAGCTTACGTCGACGAGCAGATCGGTCCTTGAGCACATGGGCTACAGCAAGAGCTACATCTGCGAGGCAGACCGCAAAGAGAAGATGCCACTATACATGCGAGTATCATTTAGCATCGCCCAAGTACCGCGTAACATGCATCCTGAGTACCGTCGGGAAAGACGAATCGCTCAACTGAACACCATCCGCAGAGGGCACCAGCACGATCCAGATGCTCACTGTGTCGGCACGGCTAAACACCCGGGCAAACACGCCTACGCTTTAAGTGTGGCTGGCGCAGAAGGGCAAAAGCCGGCGTCTGCCGCCTGCCGGGTGCGGAGATCCAAGTCTGCCGAGGAAGCAGCGGTCGCCCTTGCCACTACGACTGGTAAGGACGCGGTCACAGTTTTCATATTCCCAATCCGCTGTCCGCAATGACACGCGAGGACGAATGTCCGCCAAAGCTCTCAAAACTCTGAGAAAGAGCTGAACTCCGCTTCGTTACACCTGCGTGGTATGGGTGCCGGGGCATGAGGGGCTCGAGGGAAATGAAGCGGCTCACGCCGCTGCCCATTGTCATGTCAACCGGGCCTTTCTCAGCACCTCGCTTGACACGCGGTTAGCCAGTACTGCAGAAGTGAAGACCGTACCACCGACATACAACGCCATCCTTCAACACTATCGTTCAGCTCGCAGGTTGTACCCGCCACCTCACCCCAGGCTGACTAATGAAGAGGCCACAGCATTTCGGAGACTTCAAGCTAACACCTATACATACGGCATCCTACTGCATAGGGTCTACCCAACGCTATATGCCTACAACTGCCCGATATGCGACGTCCCAGATCCACTGGCCCGCCAACTACTCGAGTTCATCATCATCTCTGTTATGCTACGAAAGTTCCTGCGTCCAGCCCAACCCTCACCGTCAAGCAACTGTCCGACATACGAGTCCACAAGTCTGCGTTTGAACTCTCTTTTCTGTTTTGCGAAACTAGGAAATCAATAGGATGGCATGCTGCGGTGCCTCATGATCCCTTATTAGGGCAGGTTCAGACTTGTCCACTAGCCATTTTGCAGCACGTACGCAATGCAAAATGAAACCGTATTTACAGGTACGCTGTGAAAATGAACACCCTATTCAGTCTTACACGTCACTCGCCCCTTAACAGCGTCCCTCAACATTGAATAAAAAAAGTGTTACTCGTGAAAGCCGCTATGGTCCCCCAAAACCAGTCCGAAATCTCAATCACTTGCCGCGTTACGCACCAAATAGCAATTAGCATCATTTGGCGACCTTGCATACGGGAGAATGAGGGCAACTCCATGAACTTGGCGAAAATTATCATCTCCGACTGGCTCTACCGACGATATGGCTATAAGTCGAATACCCCTGTTGGTCCAGGTGCGCAAGAACTGACTGCTCAGCATACCGCTACCGAATTCTACAGATTATGCCATTTTTTAAGCGAGTAAGTAAGCCCAAATGAAAGGTCCACTCATAAACCAAGTAAATGGCCGATGCCACGAAATGTCGGAAAATGTTCTGGATTCGCGATTCACGTTGGGTGCACCGCGAATCCTCGTAAGCGCTCCATCCTTGTCACCATGACAACGCTTTCGCAATCTTTTTTTTTGTTTGTTTTTATCACCGAAGATAAACAAAAACGTGGGGTTGATGACACGACGAGAGCTCGTTACAACATTTCTGGATTAACGCGGAATACATCCACCAAGATCTTCGCCACGTGTGCGTAGCCTTTACTCGATTCCGCTCACAGCGCCAGCCTGATATCTTGTCGCAGACTTATCTGAAGTTTTCTCCACGGAAATTCTTCTTCGGGTTTGTAGGCGTCGGTAGCAATGGTGGAGAGGTTCAGGAAGATTAGCATTCCTTGGCCACCTGCTCGCTTCACGTCTAAGAGGTAATCGTCCAGAGTACGCTTGTTTGGGTGGAAATGCCCTTCAATGTTGTAAAACACCAGTGGAAGAAAGGTGTCGTCTTCTCGCCTTTCTTGAAGGAAGACCCCTGCGGCCAACGACTCGTCGTCGCGCTCAGCGTAATAAAGAGCCACCAGCGATAGCGCACAAAGCGCGAACAACGTTGTCCCAAGAGTGCGACAGGCCATGGCACTTGTTTAATGCGGTGGTGGTTGCAGAAGGCTTGGGCCTGAGGTGCTTACCGATCGTGGTTTATTTGGGAGGTTGTGATTCGCAATGGCGGAAACTTGTCGCCTAGAAGATCTTGGTTCATACCCACAAGGGGGATTGGCAACACTCAACGCCCGACGATAATTCTTCTTCATCATCCAGTATTCGTTGCACGTGCACGCTGATACGAGGGTCGGTGATCTGTAGCGATTTTGACTATACGTAATAAAAATGATAACAAACAGTGCCGGCCTTAAATACACTGCGGTCTTCATGTTTCGTTAATTGTTGCTAAAAAACACTGCTAGCTTTGACGTCCCTGTCTCCTCCATGGCTGTTCACCTGCCTTCTAAGTTGCCACTTTTTTATAATTTGAAATCATTATCAACCTCGCATTACTCTAAATTGACACACATTGTCGGTTTTGATTCGAACATTATAAGGAAACTTAAACGGGACATCTGAAATTTTTGCTTTCACTATTAATTTTTGATCTTATAAACAGCATGTTATAAGAAAACGAGAGAGTCACAACTTTGGCATCATGATCATGGCGATTAGGGTGTTCTTTTGAAGAAAAGAAGACAAGAAGAGCCTACAGTTTACTGGTGGACCCAGCAGCTGACACAAAACTGACGTTTGCCTGCTCTGGGGGTATGGCCAGAGATTAAGTAGTTGCCATTGAATTCATTTTTGAAAGGCGTTCCGATAGTTTTCCTATTTGATTAGCGAGTGTGTTTTTGAAGAGTAACCCCCGAATGCAGAGATGTTACTTGGCTCGTACTTGACTCGTTCTTGACTCAAGACAGTCTTGCTGGTCACCATAAATCGTTCTCGAACTTGTGGACGACTTGAAGGCGACTTGGCTCAATCGAAGTCAGAACAAGTTTCAAGTCAGCTGCGGGGCTAGCGTGAAAGCGACTTCATGCGTTATTCCAACATGGCCACATCTCGAATGGACGTCGCGCGGAGGTTGGCCGCTTTTGAGTTCGTGTGTCACGCCATGGATGTTGTGTTTTCGGAGGCCCATTTCCTGCCGATGATTCTACGGCCCGCCCTTCGTGACCGAGGAAATCCTATGGAGCTCTATGACGAGGAACGATTCCACGCTCGCTACCGGTTCACGAAGCACGCCGTGCGGCAGCTGCTGTCTATGCTGCCGCTCCAAGAAAGCGGGGACAATCGAGGTCAGCCTGTGCCACCTATGCTGCAGCTGTTGATGGCGCTGAGATTTTACGGCGCTGGGACGTTTCAAACAGTGACCGGGGACCTCGTCCGCATTCCGCTGTCTACAGTGGGCCGCGCAGTCGGAAAAGTGACCATGCTGATAGCAAAGCACTTGTACTCCATACTGGTGCGCTTTCCGCAGCCGGCGGAATTTCAACAAGTTATGCGGGACTTCTATGAAGTGGCCGAATTCCCTGGAGTGACGGGATGCATAGACTGCACGCACGTGCGGATTAAAAGCCCCAGCGGTGAAAATGCCGAAGTGTTTCGCAACCGCAAAGGCTATTTCTCCTTCAATGTGCAGGTAAGCAATGGAATTTGAATGTCTCTGAACACTTTATTTCGTTCGTTTTTTTTTTTCAATTATTACACGGGTCATAAACTTTTTTTCCATACAGTAAACAACGTCCTTGTGTTTAGCCATTGTTTCCATGCATTAACGAAATAATTAAAGCGAAAAAATAATGCAGCAGTTATTCGAGGGGCCCGGCACTCGCGCCTTCGTGCTGTGTTTTGCTGAACTCGAGTTTTTGCTCCGGAAGGCAGGTTTCGTGAATATTTTCCAAGGAACAGTACTGTTTGTGTCTTGTCATCAAAATACACTCTGACCGACCATGACTCTGTGCAACAACATTCATTTCTGCTGTGCATGTACTTTATACCGAACCCGCAAAGTGAAAGGCGCAGTACAATGTCCTGTTTATGATTATTTGTATGCTGCTGTAGGCTGTGGCTGGACCAGAACTCCAGTTTTTCGACATTGTTGCCGGCTGGCCCGGCTCTGTTCATGACAGCAGAATTTTTGACAACTCCTGCTTGCGGGTGCTGTACGAAGAAAAACCGTGTGCCCGGAGTGCTGCTGGGTGACGCTGGATACGCATGCCAGCCATATTTATTTACACCGTTTTCAGAACCAGGCCCCACGGACACACCCAAGGGAAGGTTAGTTCACGTGTCAGTGCATGGTCACAAAAAGTCGGAGCATGTTTTTGTGGTGTGACATTGAATCCAGTCGCTTGTGGAGTGATGCACAATATTCCTTCATTCGCCCAGGTACCAAAAAGCCCAACTAAAGACTCGGAACGTCGTTGAGAGGGCATTCGGCGTGTGGAAGAGGCGTTTCCCTTACCTGGACTTGGGAATACAGCACAAGGCCAAAAACATCGTGCACATAATCACAGCTTGTGCTGCACTCCACAACTTGGCCTGCTTATTAAGGGAACCAGAGCCACCCGCTCAAAGGGTTTCGCAGCCTTCCCCTATCAGTACAGTGGCAACCAGAACAGTGCACCTGCCACCTGTTGATCGCCTCACCGACAGCCGTTGAGGAAATCAAGCACGGGACCTGCTCATACGCAAGAGCTTCACATAGTGAAAAACTGCATAAATTTCGACACTCGGCCACACAAACTCTTTTTATGACTGCTGTGCACGCTCATATGTTTATCAACCATGCATGAAAATAAATATACACTGACATGCTTTCATCATTTTATGAGATATCCCATCATTTATTTATAAATGAGGCACGTTGTATTGCAGCCTGCGGAGCTGTTCTTTCTTTAAGTCTTTTTCTATCTCCAGTGTGTCAATTTCAAGTTTTTGCTTTTCAAGCTCATTTTTGAGCTTTGAAAGCTCGAGATCTCGCACTTGATTTTCGAACTTTCTTCTGTCTTCCCGTTCCCGCATCTTGTAATCGTGGTCCTCTTGCATAAGCCGGATACGCATTGCGTGCTCTTCTTTCTGGAGTTCTGCACGAATTGCATTTTCTGCGGCCAGTGTTTTTTCCAAAACAGCCATCCAGCCCCTGGGGGTCCTGTATGTTTCAGCGGCAACAGTTGCTGCAGGAGTGCTGCTTTCAGCAGCTCCGGTGGCTTGGTGGCTGTTTGCACAACCTTCCACAGAAATGTTTGCTTCTGCATCAGGCTGTGCTATAGAAGTGCACCTGCTGTCCTCGCCGGCATCTGTGCCTGTTGGCAGCTGTGACGGCTCTACAGGGTTGGCACCTTGTCCCAGATCGTCTGCAATAAAGAAAAGATGGCATAATGGTACTAATGGAGCATTGTCTATAACGCAAACACCTGTACACCACAACATGTAAAGAGGCATTTCTGGAAAATAAAAATCGTTAAATTTTTCAGACCATCATTACGCTTTAAAATGCAACACACCATACCTTGGCAATCAAAGTCCGCTTCATTTCGACTATCAGTCATAGGCTACAGCAGCCTCACCACAGGCAGACTTGCGACGGGGGGCTGGTACCCTGTGGCATCCGAATCAAAGGCGTTTTTCACCCTTGTCGCCATGTGGGAAGCTATGGATCCAACCAATTCGTTGACAGGAGCCATGACCGAAGGTGCAGATCCCCCTCCTAATGAGAAATAAAGTTTCATCGCAGAATGAAGCAAGTTTTCATAAACATCTTGTACAAAAAAAAAAAAAAACTCTGCGGTTTCAATGTTCCTCTCCCGTGAGTTGAGTGTAATGTAGTTTACCTGGTTCAACTCAAAGAAAAAAAATAGCAAAACATTGCGAAGAACAAACATGAGCGCGCTATACGCATTTTCCCTAAAAAAACAAAATGCGTCAGTTGTCCACAAATTCATCCTAATAAAGTTCTCGAAAAGTGTTTGCACTGAATATGCATGTTGTATACCAACTTCAAGGCAGCACTTCTTCGAGGAAAATGTGATTTTGAGTACTTCTTTTTTTCGCCATGCACTGCAAAATGTAATGGTCATGACTATTTGCACTCAGTGCTTACATTTCTATCGTATACAAAACATGTTGAAGATCAAAAGTGATCAAGCTATGCATATTATGTTTCGCTTACCAGTTTTGTGGCGCTCTCGCTTCTCTCTTGCAGCTTCCTCTTTCCATTTTTGTTTCAGGTTATTCCAGCATTTCTTGAGCTGCACGTGGTCGCGCCGGGTGATTCCGTGGTTGGAATTGAAGCTCTTGGCAATCTCTTTCCATGTTTCATTTTTTTTCGCTATCGACGCAACATCAGTCTTCTTGCACTCGATGATGTGCTTGAACTCTCCCACGAGAGCGATAAGCACAGTCTTCTCGTCTTCGGTAAAGCGCGGTGCCGTCTTGCGTGTAGGTGTCTCTTGGGACGATAGTATACTTTGCTGCGACATCTCGGAGTGAGTAGTTTTTCCTCCTTGACTCGACGATGTCGCTCAGAAAAGTGACGCGGTAGGCCTTGCTTTCCCCAAAAGTATTTCCTAGCAGACATTCCAGGAATTTTTTTTCTCGTTTCGTGCAGCCGTGTGGGGTTGCAAAAAACGCCAGACATCCATCTGCAGCACAAAGCTACAAAAACTTCACAAAAAAAGCTGCTCTTCCTCGTGGTTTCTCCCCTGACTAGAACGAGTTTTTGGGTAGAAACACGAAGGTTTTCTCCGGATTCCCTCGTAGCTATGCATTGCAAAAGGGCAAATGAACCCTTCGTTCACCTCGCAGGCCTGTGCCCTTTTCATTGTTCCTGACAAAGCTTCCAGCAGGCATCCTGAGGCTGACCGCGATCGTGCCCCCCCCCCTCCACCTCACTAACATGAAAAACAAATTTGGTCTCATTTTGGTGGAGGCGAAATATCATGGCCTTATACTGGCCCATATCTGTGCACGATAAATAACACCAGGTGGTCGGAATTTCTGGGACTTTCTCATACGGCGTTCCTCATAGTAACATCATGTCTTTGGGACGTAAAACCCTCGATTCATAACGCATATGATCTCTGCTGTAATGCCTTCTAATGACAATGCACATACCAAATGAAAAGTACCTAAATATTACTATTATGACCCTTCCCCCTAGAAAAAAAGGACTGTAGAAAACCGCGATCCTCATCCGCACATTTTATCTTTTTAATGAATGTAGTTTAACTTTTAGCATCTCCGATTTGATTTAGCTTTTTTTTTTCGGGTCAGCACACCCACAGGGGCTTTGTACATTGCGTTTTTTGTACACTGCGTTGCTTTTTTGTATAAATATATGTGTAAATACAATATATACATTTACAGTATAAATACAACGTAGCCCGCTACAGGCATGTCCATTGGCGAATAGAAAGGCGAGTACAACGAGAAATCGCTATGCTTTCTAAACACTTGCGACCCAGAGAAGTGCCGCTGCATTCGATAGCAAAATACGATGAATGAACACCTGGAGAAACGCGCCTCTTTTGGGATACCACTGAAAACAGCTGAAAAAGGACGCTTTCCACAAACAACACTGCGCGTCGCGGCGCGCCGGGCATCACGTAGGCGTTCGGTAGCAGTAAAACAAGAAAAATATGCTTTTAGCCCTTTGAACAGATATGTATTTCGAAATATACGAACTTTTTTTTGCTTTGACACGTGCATTACGCGAACAACTACATTATTAGCCTTGTTACCAGGCGAGCAACGTGTTTTTGTATTGAAGCACGTTCTTGACTTGACCAAGCAAGACACCCTGAGCATCTATGAAACGCGAAGGCCGACTTGAGCGTTTTCAAGTCCGCTGCTTGCTTCGCGCCGACTTGCTCAAGTCAAGTCAAAGACGCGGGCAAACATCTCTGCATTCGGGGGTAAGACCAGACAGATGCCACTTTCCTCACCTGTACCAGGGGCTTTCCTGTGGTCTGCTTCTCTTTCTTCGCAGAAATTGCGAGTCTACCTGTTTCTACGCATTGGCATCTCACTCGTGCCTGCGGCATTAGTCCCAAGCAACAACAATATCATGCGAATAAAGAATCCAAAAATGATTCAGACTGAGCTGAGAGCCGCTACAACTCGCTATGAAAGCATCACATAGGTGAGACAGTTACCACTAAACTACTAAAATGCTACTAAATGAGAACTACTAAAATGCCCGGCGTTCGCTACCAACCCAGTAAGCGCGTTCATTCTACCACACCTAGCTTGCGTCAAAGGCCTCGTTCGGAACTTCGATGTCAACTTGACTCCAACTGAGATATTAGATATATTTTCAGAAGCAGTTGCGATAGTGATTTATAGATGTTGCCGAGTCGGGGGTATGAACAAGGTCCCAACTGAGTCTGTGATAGTTACATTTGCCGGGTCGAATCACCCAACCAAAATCAAGGCGTGGCCTTTATTATCCTGAGTAGAGCATTATTGACACACGGTAAAAAGATGCAGGTCGGTACCTTAGATGCAGAATTGGTGGTGAGACGCACAACTCAAGTGACTATAAAAGTAAATAAGAAAAGTGCTGTCTTTGCCATGACGCAAACTGCGCTGATAACCCAAATCGCTGTGCCAAGGCACGTGAAATTCAAATTCTAGAAATTGTAGACAGAAGACGATGCCCTCTCAAGGATGCCAATGCTGAAAGTCAGGCCATAAATCAAGGATTCGCCGGTGCAGAAGCCCGCCATAACATAGCAAAGGAAGCATCACTTTCCCTATCAATTGCGGAAACGATCGAAAAGGCTTTAGATAAGGCTATTTAACGCCTAGCTACCACCCTGTGTGAGTCTCTGACGCATATTATAAATAGCCAAATAGCGCTAGTCTATGGGTCGCAGATAAGTATAAATACGGCTTCACAAAATGCTGCGTTTGCACACTCAACAAGTGAGGCAGAATCTGAGATACCTCCTTCGGATGCACAATCTGAAGGGCCCTCTAAAGAAGGCATTCAGAAGCACAGCGAGGTCACACAGGAAGTTTCTCAGGATACAGAAGATATGGACATTGACCTCAAATGCTTAAAGTGTTCTAGATCCCCTGTATCAAGAAAAAAACTGACTCGTCGAACCAAGTAGAAAGCAAAAAATACCAGAAAGATAACCTTTGAAAAGCCGATTTTCTAAGAGAAAGTATTTTACCGTTGGTAGTTGCCGAAACAATTCTCACGGTACCATAGGGTACTTAAATTTATACATTGGAAGTGCCGATCTATTCACTCAGCCATAACAGATCTGTTGTACCTGTCTTCCAAACTCAATCCGGCTATTATTGCACTACAAAAAACTTGGCTTTCCACACATAACTAGTTTCAACTACAAAACTTGCAATCTTATCGACAAGACTGTCCATTCAAAGACGGAGCTTTAGCGTTTTGAACCATAAAATTAGTTTAAAAGTTCAAATATTATACAAATGTATGTCTTCTGAATGCGAAATTTTTGCGTTAGATATTACCTTGCCAGAACACTTGCCTTTCTTGCTAATAAACGTATACTATTCTGTGGGCGTACAAGACACGACATTATTAGATACGGCTGCTAACTCAGGCCGTAAAGAAAAACTTTTAGTTGGCGACTTCAATTATCACGATACATGCTGGTGTTTTAGCACGTATCATTGTGGCTAACGGTTGTGGGACTGGTCTGTAGACAACAATTTATTGTGCCTTAACGCCAGAACTCCTACAATAATTCGAGGTTGTTCACGGTCCACCTTGATTTAAGCTTCGTATAGCTCCGCTATTGCTAGTACATCATGGACAGCCTTTGATTGCGCCTCTAGCAGTGACCACTTTCTTATAATGTTCGAGATCGCTTGCCCCATTAAAGCATCATGCTACCATGCCAGGATATTTATAAATTATCCAAAATTTAAACACGACCTAAAAGCTTCTTCAGACTCTACCTCTCAACATGGCGATAAGACTAAAGCTACAAAATTAGGCTGAGTTTGTATCCATATAAAGAAGCTGAATTTGCTGTTCAATTAGTGAAGAGAGTACCCTATAACTCCTGGTGGAATTCCCACTGTTCACGAGATCAAAGACGATGACAGGCAGCTTGGAAGAAGCTTATACATAATCAGTCCCCTGAGAACTCATCAGAATATATCTTTCTCGCCGCTGTATATAAACGCACAATGGCCCAAGCTAAAGAAGAATATAATACAATACATTTCGATTTCCTTTCGAAACCTAAGGATAAGAAAGCTTTTTTTCTGTATATGCGATCTCCCAAAATCCTGCTGTCTTCAGTAAATACTGTATACGAAAGGCTATCATTGGAAGAAATGACAAACTTTTTAGTGTCAAATGGCAGAGGTCTATAAATTAGGTTTTCTTCGACTATGGATTTCCACTGGCAAAATTCTAGCATAAGCACTGACTTCGAAAACGTAACGCTGTCAGAAGCATGAAAAGTGATTCGAGATTTACCTTCGAAAGCTCCTGGTCCTGATGGAATCAGAGTTCCAAGATTGAAATTTTATTCATGCTATCACCTGGCAACGCCCTAAATCTTATAACTCTTTGAATAACGCCTGAATACCGTGTGACTGCCAAATAGCTAAGGTAATGTCATTAATAAAAAGTGAGGATTAGGTTTTAGCATAGAGAATATAAGATTCATCTCGCGAAGCTACCATATTGAAACTCTTAGATAAGGTTCTACATGGCCGAATAACCATGTGGATGACAAATATAATAATATTTATTCTAAACCAAATTAGTTCTCGCAGTGAATGCTCAATTTGGTGCGCCCATGCTGATTTAGAGAGTCAAATACGGCTTGCTCGTAAAAGGAAACAGTACGCCGCATTAGTAACTTTCGGCATAGCTAAAGCGCATGACAGTGTCGAGCACTCTATTCTACTGAACACCTTGCAGAGTCCAAAGTTTCCTCATTATATTACTGAGTGGATAGCAGAAATCTTAAAATAAAGGGAATTCTACTGCGTGAAGGATGGCTGTTGTTTGCATAAATTCAAACAGAAACGTGGTGTTCCCCAAGGGTCCGTCCTATCTCTAGTATTATTCAATATACTGATGAGCTCTATTCCAATTGTTCAGGATGTCAGTGTCTACATTTATGCCGATGATATTGCGTTCTTCGCTGCAGAGAGCGACATTTACTCAGTACAACAAAAATTGCAAAGATATATTAATACTCTAGTAATTTGGTTGCAATTCATTTCATTGTAATTGAACATCAGTAAAAGTGCGCTCTTGGTGTTTGCTATAGAAGATACAGTTTAAATTTTTGTATTATATAATCGGCAACCTATTCCACACGTAGATTGAGTCAAGTACTTGGAAATGATTTATAATAAAAAGCTAGTTTGAAGCCCATACGTAGAATATGTAACAGCAAAGGCACAATGGGCGTTAGGTTTATTACGCAGGTTAAGCAACAGAAAATACGGGCTGTCAGACACACGACGT